TACTGAAACTCAGGAGATCAGTTTCTAGGAAACTGATAGCCCGACACCAGCACATGAGATTTGATTGTAGTAGTGAAGGCTTTGTGCAGAACCAACACACTTATATATATATATATATATATATATATATATATATATATATATATATATATAATTCTCAGAGTTAACCTGTAGAAAAGACAATATTTATAAATGCAAAAGACAATAGGAAAACTGTATTAGTTGCCGACGCTTTTACTCCGATGTGGACTTTTTCAAAGTGAAACGAAATGTATTAAACAAAGTAACTAATAATAATAAAACAAAATGTCCTTAGCAACAGGAAGAATTTAGAGAACGTTATTTTCATACTGTTAACTGAAATTACGTCATTTAGTGTCACGTGTGGAGATATTGTTTTTATTGATTTCTTTTGATTTCACGATATGGTTGTGTAAGTTTGTTTGGGAGAGTAGTAATACTGTTAGGAAAGGTGAAATAGGGAAAAGCCTGGGCGTAGATTAATATATTAAGAAATCAAAAGAAAATGGTTGAATCATTCAACACAGCAACAAAAGCAATATCTCCACACGTGACGATAATTGACGTAATTTTCAGTTAACATTATGAAAATAGCGTTCTCTAAATTCTTCCAGTTGCTAAGGACATTTTGTTTTGTTATTATTAGTTACTTTGTTTAATAAATTCATAAGTTCGTTTTCGCCTTGAAAATGCGTCATAACTATTACAGTTTTCCTGTTATCTTTTAATATATATATATATATATATATATATATATATATATATATATATATATATCCTTCCTTCTCCGTTTTTAGTCAATGAAAAAAAAAACTTCCGGTAAATTAAAAGGACGTTAACGTAATTCATTTGATCACTTTATTCTGCTAGTTTTAAAGTTAAAGTTTTTTCTATTTTTAGTATTTAAATATGGCGTAGAGTAAGAAGTGAAATTGTACTGTGGACCACTAAAATATTATTGTGCATCTCCGATTTGCTATTTCTTTGTGTGAACGCCCAGTAATTCTACATGGACACCCAGGGTCCATATGGACCCCGTTGAGATGGTTCTGCTTTAGACCATTAGGTGTTGTCTCGCTTGCATGTGTTTTCTCACCGTATTGATTTTGCCAGTTCAGGTGGATAGATCGTAGATCAACTGAGATTTGATTTCGACAGAGGTAACCTTTATTAGACACGGTCTGCTTATGACACTATTTTGATGGCAAATTCACAATATAAATTGTTAGAATTCTTCTTAGATGTTTAAAGCAAAATATAATATAAAATTAAGGAATAATTATTAATCCTAAAAGAATGCATGGATCTCTGAAAAAGAACCTGATTATATGTTTCCACTCAAATGTAACTGAACTCGGCTTAGTGGCAGTATAAAACACACATCCGGGCTCTGTTGCAGTTGAATATACACAAATGTGATTGAAAAGGTGTCTACAACTGGGATTTAAAACGCACCTAAACAGATAAGGATAATCAGAGACAAGCGGACAGCCATTACGTTACACAGAGTTTGTTATACGTTCATTGGCCTGATCATAATTTCAACTTAAAAATGCATGCAGTTTTAATTAAAATATTATAAAATTATTACGGTGAAGATTTATTGTCAGGATACTAACTTCTTAAGCATACGATCACCAAAGTTAAGTGACGTCGATCCTGGTCAGTATCTTGATGGGTAACCGTCTCTGAATATCAGGTGCTGTAAACCTACGTTTTAATGAATAACGGCTCGAAATTGTTAACCGTTATATTTACTTACGCGCAAATACTCCTGGGAAAATATGGATTCATATCTTCTTCCCTCCCCAACTATGGGTTAAATATTACGACTTGTATCATTAAGCTGTTATTGTCTCCCCCACAAATTCTTACAATGATAAACTGCAAAGGGTTGATAAGCCGTAAAATCGAATAAATCCATCAATAAAACATACCCACTTTACATACCCTGCTGTTACAAAGTGGTAATTAAAAGAATATTCAATAAAAATAAAATTAAATCCCCAAACAATAAAACACTGAACGGTATTGGTTATTTACTGTATTCGGATTGTTCTCCTCATCGTTGTTGGCATATTCATGACGTTTCGGCCGTTGCACACGATTTGCTTTCGACGGAGGTAACTTTAATTAAATACGCTTCGCTGATGACACTATGTTGATGTCAAGTTCACAATGCAAATTGATAGAACTATTCTACAAGTTAGATGTTTTGAGCAAAAATTAAAATAAAGGAATATTAACCCTAAAATGACAGAATATATGACACACTGCAAAAAACAGCATCGATCGAGCCTGGTCAGGATCTAGATGGGTTATACCACGTCCCATGTGCGCGGGTGGTGTAATGGATAATGGATCTGAATTAGAACTCGGCTCTCCGAGTTCTAATTCCACTCGGGTTCGTTATATTCACTTACGCGCAAATTCCTTTGGGAAGCGTAAGAATTCACCTCTGTTACTCATGGGTTAGCTAGTAGATCTTCTATGAGTAAATATCATTATTATCTCAAAAATTATTGTCTGGCTTTAAATAACCAACAAAATGTTGTTAAACTGTCAAATACAAATTACCCAATGAAGAGGTTCCTAAAAACCACACCAAGTCTTTTTTTTCCAAAGATTTGTGATTGAAATTGAGTAGATAAAACTATTCGGGGATGTTATAGCGGTGCTGGCACGGATTTAAGCCTAGTGACCTTGTTTAAACTGTTGACAACGGCATCGGCTCTCTCCAAACGTCCATGTCCTGCGCTAACTCAAGAAAAGGCGGCAGGTCTTCTAAGCTCTTCAAATCTTTGCGGAGAATGATGATTTTTTTTTAAGTATTTCACCCCAAGCAAGGCCAGAGTACCACTAGCACGCGATGGGTTCCAGAGAGTAGGAACAAGAATAAAGAGACGTGATTGAGGAAATGATAAAAAGAAGGACGGGGAATCAGATCAAGGCATCAGAAGATGTCGATTGACATTATATTTGAATATTTGAAGACTATAAATGTCAGAGAACCAAGTAAAAGGAAGGGAGTTCCACAGACAGGAAGTGCGAGACATGAACCTATTGAAATAGAAAAGACCGCTACATTTAACCGTTTAGACAGTGAAAGGGTGGGACTGAGATGTCAACCTAGTAACACGCTTAAATTCATGCAGTCTGGGAACCAGCGAAGATAGCTCGTCGGAGCAGTTACCGTGAAAGTACTTGTAGAAAAGACAGAGGGAATCGAGGCCACTTTATTGATAGTTCCATTAATGTCTTCGTCCAATGTGTTTACTATGGTTGTTTGTCTAATGTCTTCTTCTTTTTATGTGCCGTGTCCTTTCAGGACGTAGGCTATCATGGCCCTCCACTTCCCCCTTATCCCTTGTGTCTCTCAACAGGTTTTGTGTTTCTGCCAACACCCCCAGTCCACGCACCGACATTCACCTGCCCAAGCCCGACAAGTATGCTTTCCTCTGTCTCCATTTCCTTCTATTTGTCCCGCGAGTATCAGATTCTCCAAGCCCTCTTTTCTCATAACATATCCCGGAAATTTCATCTGCCTCTTCCTAATGTTAAACAGAAGCTTCCTCCTTGTTTGCATCCTCTCCAAGAACTCATCGTTACTCACATGCTGGGTCCATGATATCCTCAGCATCCTTCTGTAGAACCACATCTCCGCCACCTCTAGTCTCTTCTTCATAAACGAGGTCATGCCAAAAGAGTATAGACGAAAAAGAAAAAAAAATGAATGGATGACAGAGGAGATTCTTGACATGATGTAAAGGAGACAGAAAACTCTGCCACGATACGGAACAGAATACAGAAAATTGCACAAAGAACTAAGGACCAAATACAAACAGTCTAAAGAAGAGTGGCTAAACAAAAAATGTGCAGAAGTCTAATGTCTGTGGAAGGTTATTCTTCCATTTAGTGTTGATAAGAAAACCATTTCCATATTATTTACAGTTTGTTACCAAATCTATTGTGCTATCAAACTTGTGATATTAATATCAAGTCCTTCTTTGATCTTGATTTTTTCGATACAACATATAACAGTGTTATAGCTATTAACATTCCGAGACAATAATTCTTGTTTTTTTATTGTTTCTAAGCTTGCGTAATATTTATCCAAACTCAGATATCAAATTATTCAATTGATAAAATCAGGTTTTAAAGAACAATTGTCAAAAAAATAATACAAAGGACGTTTTGAAAATAACTCCTCGTTTTTATTTCTTCATGAGATTAAGAATTCATAACTATCATTCAATGACTAGACTAACTGTGCTCCCATGCAATAAATGGTTTCCGTAAATTTTTCAGCAAACCTCTATGAATATGTGTACTTTTTGTTTACGCAGGGATAAAGTCTGTAACACACTTTCTTAACTTAAGTACTTTCATATCAGACGTCATTTTACCAGAACGCTATTCATAACAAGGTAAAAAATGATATAGACTATTGGCGGGAAGTGTCGCTCTCTGCTGACATACCGCAAATATTCGCTATCTGAGGTCGTGAGCCAGGGTAGGCGGTATTAATTTCGGCGTGATATTCATTATTTTATTATTTTCTATTTCATCTCTTTCATTCATTTTTTTTTTTTTTTTAATTTCTTTTGGTGGGGTTGGTTTATTTAAAATAACTGTTAAAGGATTTTTTTTCGTTTCTGGTTTTGGGCATTTTTTTTCAAATTATCCTTCTTCAAATTATTTAATTTCTCTCTCTCTCTCTCTCTCTCTCTCTCTCTCTCTCTTTTCTCATCTTTTTTCTTAATTACTCTCTTTTATATTTCCCTTTTCATGTTCTTATTTAATTTTATTTTTTTTTTTTAACAATTTAAAGTTGTTTTAATATTTATTTCCCTTTTTCATATTTTTCTTCTATTTAGGGAATATTTTTTTCTAGTGCAGGAATTTCGGTTCACAGAATATTGCTCGCTTTGTATTTTCGAAATAGTTCCTATTCGAAAATTGGGTAAAGTTGAGCTGACGGTGTTTAAAGGTTGAGGCTTTGGTGGGGAGAGAAAATCTGGCGGAAAGCAATGAACTAGCGAAAGAAAAATAAGGGTAGAGAGATGATATGATTCAGAGCGGTAAAAGGAAAAGATAATAAAAAATATGATGTCAGCCATTTTGACTTTACTATGGTGCAACAAAAAAGCAACAACAAACAAAAAACGATGAACCATCCAAGCTGAATTTTAGTCTCAAGAGGGCATCACAGCGTCTTTATTAATATTTCATCCGTGAAAAAAAAAGGAAAAAGAACAAAGAATTATAACAAAGTATATAAAAGCATATCAAAAGCATAAAATAAAACCAACTGATTTCTCAAAGATGTGTGATAATATCCAGTTCAATATTATTCAACGTTCGCTAACATTCATTCGGGCAGATGTGCACGCAAATACGCGTGCGCAGGATTACTTTACTCACAGACACACGCACATACTTCCTGTATCACAGAGAGAAAACACTATATATACATATATAATTTATATAATAACAGACTTATATATAATTTTAGCAACATGTATTATATATATATATATATATATATATATATATATATATATATATATATATATATATATATATATATATGTATATATATATATATATATAAATATATATATATATACATAAATATATATATATATATATAAATATATATATATATATATATATATATATATATATATATATATATATATATATACATATATATATACATATATATACATACATATATATACATACATATATATATATACATATATATATATATATATATATATATATACATATATATATATATATATATACATACATATATATATACATATATATATATATATATATATATACATATATATATATATACATACATACATATATATATATATATATATATATATATATACATACATATATATATATATATATATATATATATATATATATATATACATATATATATATATATATATATATATATATATATACGTATATATATATATATATATATATATATATACATATATATATATATATATATATATATATATATATATATTCGTACATGAAAATATTACTACAATGTAAACAATCTTTTATCATCACAAGTACTGAGCTACAACAGAAATCTTAACAATATATACACCTACTTAATATATATAATGCCAAAAGACAAGCGTACAAAATTCACAAAACTAAAAAAATATATAAACAGATGAACTAGGCACATTACATTACCTATAAAGACCATAAGCAATCAATTTGAAAGAAATTTAATCTCTATACAAATGTTTCACACACCTGTAAAAACTTCTAAATATTTTAATCAAGGTAAAAGAAAATGATTAGCTTATACTGAAAGCAAAACTTACCAAACAGAATAAATATAATGTCCCTAAAAATACATTCGGGAAACATTACGAAATTTAATGAAAAAATATGGGTATTTGAACCTGAAAGGCATTTGAAATTAAACAACAAACCTAATGCACTAGCGTGCAGCCGCAACTTAATTGACCACAAATTTGACCCGTAAAAATAACTTTTTAAGACATAAACATAATTTACTAGCAGTGTCCTTTGCCGAGCTGATGTTGCTACATGCCTTACTTCTTGCCTATCTCACACTGCGATTTTTTCTAAGTTCTATACTAAATATTAAATCTGTTACGAAAAAAAGAACTAAACAAAATGAACAAAATACGATCAGCTTTAAAAAAGGACTCGTAACTGGAAAAACCGAATGAAAAAAACAATGTTAACAACAAATACTTTTTCACACCCAACGCAGTTCTGCGGAATCAGAATCAACGTTGAGTTTAAGCAAGCGAATGAGCCAATTAGAGTAAAGTGCCATGCAGATTTAAATTTTTCCCACTTGTGACGAATGCAGCTATCGATTTTTTGTCAGTCAGCTGTTAGCTCTCACGCTGGCCAATAGAATCTTCCTGCCTATTCGCGGCAGCCAGCTATAGGCTGTCACTCTGGCTAGTAGAAAATGGCCGCAAACTACATGAAAACTGCCGTAGAAGCATGAAAAATCGATTATTTCCACTGTCGATGGGAGTTGGGAAATGTAAACTCGGTCTTGGCCTTCCCACTAACTTGGAGCATGTGCCTGTAAATTTTGGTGCAAATTGCGGCCTTGCATTCGTTACACACACACACACGTCCTGCCTTTTATAGATAGAGATTCAAAAGAAGATGCAATGATCTATGTATCTGCTAAAATGAATAAAATGATTGGACTATTTCAATATATCCCGTTTTGTTTCTAATTTAGTCATGCAACAATGTTCAATACACGGACGTATAGTAGATTTGTAAATGTGCAAGATGAACTCTGATGAGAAAAATTTTCTGGCACGGCACAGTGACCAAAATTTCCTTGCAGTAGATGCAGCTATTGATTCAGTATAGTCGCCCCGCTTCAAGTCAGTTGAAAACGTGAGGCCAGGAAGGCGCCGTGTTTTACTGTCTAGGAGTCTAGCGACAGCCATGCTGATGGCAGACAGAATAGTTTCTCAATGCTGGTTTCTAAGGCTTATCAACTTTTTGCAGGTTTATGTAAAGCCAGAAAATGGCTCAGTGAATAAAAGTGTCCGTTGAGCAATC